TGATTCCGCACCAGAGGAATACAAGAAACTTGCCGAGTGGTGTTGTGATGCTGATCCTGATAAGCGTCCAGATGCATGGAAACTTTGGGGTAATATTGACAAGCTTATTGGAAAGGTGAACGAGGACAATTTCAATTTTGATGACAAGACGTGGGATGCCATCTATTATAATGATGTAAAACCCTTATCACGTTTCGAGAAGGAGAGTAAATATTCTAGTACGCTCTTACCTACTAGAGATCTTCCTAAACCAAGAAAAAATTCTCATCAGTTACCTCCCTTATCAGAATTCAATTTGCCAAGTTTAGAGGTAGAGTCAGAGGGGGGTTGATGGAGAGTAAGGGAGGTAGTTTGGGTTCTGTTCATGTAAACTCTTGAATAAACTTGTGGTTTACTCTTCTTCCAATTGAATAAATTAAATACTGTTTCTATGTATGTCGATATGGTTGAGTTAACAGGATTCCAAAATAAAATCGTGCATGTTTACTGTTAGCTGCCTTTGCCGGGATAGATCAAATGAAATATGTAAGAAAATATAGAATACATTGTTTATTAAAAGTAACTAGATGTGTGTAATGTGGCTGCCCGATTCATTGGTCGGCTTTATTACGTTAGCACCCTTATACTTTTAGCAGTTCTGCAATTTTTGTCTGACAATTTACCTTTTCCGTAAAGACTAAGCTCTGTTTAATTTTTTGTACACTGATATGTGCTGTTGATCTGTCATGCTTTAGGAAAAGCGCTAACTATATTTCGTATTTTTCTATGTGCAAAGTCTGGCTGTTTTCATATAGATCTATATCTAGATCTAAATCTAGAACAAGAACTAGAACTTGATCTTGATCTTGATTTTGAACTTGAACCGGCTCTCATTTTTCGCCTCTGTACCCATATTCTTTTTAACAAAAAAATTTTATCTTGTGTATCGTTGCTCTAATAACAATATATTTTCCTGTTTAATTAATTTGTTTCATTTCATTCAAATTTTTTACTTCTTCTAACTAACGCTTTAATATTTGTATTCACTTTTGAAACGTCTGCGCTTTATGCAATGCTTTCAATTTTGTTGCAATGCAGTTTGCAAAACTTATTTCCGGTACAAGCTGTAGCCCAATGTTGGTATATACCCCAATGTGCTCCATCAAAAGTAATACAAGTGGGTCTCGATATAACGACACGCTCGGTTCCAATCCAAATGATCACTGTATCGAGAATATCCTTATATCGAGAATTAACTTACATACGACAACTAAGCAATATAAAATTTCTGTTCTAAGATTTCTGTCGTTATATAGCAGTGTCGTTATATCGAGTCTCACTTGTATATCAGTATTTCTCAGTTATAAACTTGCCCTCCAATTTATCATATACATATCTTTCGCCAATTGACAAGCTTTCTATTTCCGAGATATACAAGTTGATTGCAAGAATAACAGATAGCTATTCCACATTTTGAGGCGTATTTTTTTCCCATCAACAAGATACGGCAAAGTTTTGTGCGCAAAAGAAATCTTTCTCACCATATGTATAGTGTTTTTTATTTCTAAAATACATTAGGCGATCCCAAATCCTATCTTTCCACTCAGTCGGAGTTTCATCATTATATTCGGCATACTCCTCATAAGTACCCCATGAATACGAAAGGACAACCAATGCAATGCAAGCGACTAGAGAAATATAGGAGTGAATTACTCAGTTCCAGGCACAAATTACAAGATCCAACAAACGAAGTTCTACGCTGTTCCGCCAGAAACAATAAAGTCCTACTTGTTTGACAGAGTGGTAGTTATAATGAGTTTGTTTGCCATGTCGGGTTGTGTGACCTGGTCGGTAACTTCCCTTTCTAACCATAAATGGGAATATTTTATGCTGTACGACATGGCAGGTAAATTCCCGATTATCGATTTATGGTCATACAATTTCGCATCATACGATTTCGACAGTATGATTTTAGCTGTCGTATTTGTGTATTTCGTATCTACTGTTTTTCATGTATTATTGTTTGTAAATTGAATATTATTCACATAAGTCTCATCATAACGAATATTGTTTGACCTAGGCCTAACTTCGTTATATAGAGGCACCTCACTATACCGAACGTCCCTCTGTGCAAGTAAAAATAATGTGGGTTTATTTTCGATAGTACTGTAAACCTCTTATTGTCTTCGATAAGAACAATGTCCATCGCTATTCTGTTGGTGTAACTTCCTTATACGTCTTGACAAAAGAAGGTTGCAGTGTGCTCCATTTTTAATACTCTGTAAGACTTTGGTGCTAGTAAAGAAATTTATCTTTCACTTTTCATGCCATGACAGCAGCGTTCGATTAATATCTCATACTATCAAAACGAGCCAAGGATCAAATTAATCTTTTCCGTTCTTCCTTCTTTTTAGAAAGAATAATTTGGTGAATTCGAATAATAAATTTCAAAATGAGTCGTAATTAGGAAAAAAAAGAATGCGATGTTTAAACAAACGTTTCTTGGTTGCGGGTTTATAATATATCGACTGTCTGACCGTGGTACATGCACCATTTATTGCAGGCTGTATAGTGCTCAACATGTAAATACGGCGTTGGACGACCATTTATAGCCACTAAACAAATATAAGATATAAATAACCATCGTTTCAAGTTCAATCCATTTTAAAGCCGTGTTTTCTTTTTTGATAATAAAACGATTATTGATCAAAAAACCAGTATGAGCAAGTTGATTTTCAGCAGTAAGAAAAAGTCAAAGTATGATGACGAAGGATCTACCATTAGTTCCGCATCTACGCTAGTCCCTCCGTCAGTTATAGCTGATCTCGAAAGGCTAAGCATTACGAAAGAGCGCTTGGAACGTTATGTCGATGAAGCAAAAGACAAGACCGAAACTGAATTAACGAATCGAGCTAGAGCAGCTCGAGAAAATGCCATACGTAAAACACTCTCGAGTGTCAAGCGCTCAATGGAAGTCGACCTTTGCTTCGTCTTGGACTGCACTGGATCTATGAAATCACACATTACCGCTGTCAAAGATTGTATCATAAAAGTAACAGATTACGTTACCTCTATAAACCCCAGCATTAAAATTTGGGTCGGGTTTTGTGGTTATCGAGACATTTCTGATGGATCTGACCGCTTGATAGTTTCCGACTTTACCGATTCATATGCAATGTTCAAAGCGTATGTAGCCACAGTATCAGCAAAGGGCGGTGAGGATGCACCGGAAGACGTTCTTGGCGGTCTTGATGCAGCCGTAAGAGTAATGAACTGGCGACATGGCACACGCATTCTCCTTCACATTGGTGACTGTCCGCCTCATGGACGTCGTTATAGTTCCCTGGGAGATTCGTACCCTGGTGGCGATCCGTATGGATTAACAGCAGAAAGTGTACTAAAACACATGGAGCTAGAAAACATCCTTTACTTTTTCGGAAAAATTACAAGACTGACTAACCAAATGGTTGAAATTTTCCGTAGCATAATTGGTGACTTTCCGGTGTTTGATCTTGAAAAGTGCAATGCTGCCACTATGGTTGACAAATTTTACAAAGCTGCCAGCTCGGCCATAAATAGTTCTGTTTCGTTAACTAGCACAATAGGAAGCGATGCCAGGGACATATATACTATGCGACGTGAAAAACTCGAAATGAATCCGGATGAGCCTAGTTGGGATAGATATAGATCACAAAATGGAGTAGTCTTGTGGTATCGTCCTCCCAAGACCCTGGACGATCTTAAGAACCGTAAATATTTCAACAAATCAAACATTCTTCATCGTAATTTTATTTACATGATTTCGACACAACCATTTTCTTCTGGTACTGAAAAGTATGCATATTATGGTCTCGATCTCAAGAGTAGGCCATCAAAGAAAATCGTGATCAAAGAATATCTTAAACTTGGTGGAGGAGCTGAAAAGTACCTTGAAGTAGCGGAGGTCTCTATTGTTGCATATTATCTTGCCGCACAATTTAATGAAGCTGCAAGGCGAGTCAAGGCCAAGGAAGTAAACTTTTTAGAAGTAAAGGTTTTACATAGTTCCGTTGGCGGTACGACTCGATATTACGCTGTTGAAGAGAGACTTAAAGATGGCAAGTTTAAACGGTTCAACGTAAACAGTGGAGTAATTGTGGAATTTCATCCCGTCCTTGAAGCTTTTGCTCATTTCACATACATGCATACTAATAGATATTTAGTGGTTTATGACCTTCAAGGAGTTGAAAAAGCGAACCAGTTCTTGCTAACAGATCCCGCAATACATTGTATTGATTCATTAAGATTTGGAAAGACGAATTTAGGCGAAAAGGGAATCAACGAGTGTTTTTTGGCGAATCACAAGTGTAATGATATTTGTAGAAAATTGAAATTAAGACGCTAGCTAGTAGTCGTTGTTTTGTTTATGTGCAAGTTTATTATTCTTCTTATATTAAACACGATGGTAGTGATGTGATCACATTTTAGTTCTGGATGCGCAATTGGTAGTATGACAGCGTTCTTTATAACTCAAAGATACTGTACATTTACACAGCGATGGACAAACGACGTCCTTTCGTTCTTTTTTATTACATTCGACAGCAGTTAAAACTGTTTAGTTAAAACATAAAAGTCTGTCTTGTAAAATTTATTTCAAAAGTACTCTAACGGAAATGTTTCTTATTATTTTATCAAATGGGGCAGACTGCAACAAAACCAGACAAGTGAACAATTTATTATAAATGAGAGTCTGATGTGGCTAAAAGATCAATTAAGTGACCAATAACATTTTTAACACAGCTGTGTGGCTCAGACATAAATTTATACATAGTCTTAGATTATAGTGTGTAACAAAAAACCAACGGATATTTTTAGTTTTGCCATTGCATCTCAACGAATAAAATAAAAACAACCAAATTTATTTGATAGCAATTAATAAGCATTTGTGAAAGGCAAAATAATCCACTGTGTGTTCGATTTATTTAGTGACAAGACATTGTACATGTTGTGGTAGGAGAACGTTCTCTTTTTTCCCCTTCTTTCATCACACGGGGCAACACCGAATCCCGAGAGCGTGCAAAAAGATAATATTACGTGCATATGCCTTTTAGTCTTAGTCTTAGTCTTAGTCTTAGTCTTAGTCTTAGTATTAGTCTTAGTCTTCGTCTTCGTCTTAGTCTTAGTCTTGATCTTAGTCTTAGTCTTAGTCTTAGTCTTAGTTAATTAATCTACTTACATAATGCATATTTCAAACTCGATATTTTGTTAACAGTGATAGTTGTTCATTTACATTCTGCTTTTTTCTTCGCGATCGCGCCGAAGCGGTCTCAAGAAAAAAGTCATTAGATAGACATTTGTTCGCGTATTTATGCAATCTCTTCCATAGCCAACCAGCATTCCTTTATCATTTTAGGAGAGCGGCGGAGATCGTCGGACATTCTCCTCCATCGAGGGCCATACATCTGGTGCAAATGCCGAATCCTATTACATTCAAAAGGGGTAAATGGTCTGTCGATATCTGTTGGAATATATAATGTGTACGACTTATGTTAGAAAGTTACGGGCTGAATAGCAAGCGTATAAGACCAAGCCACCCAAACTTTCAACTGAAACCAAAAAATAATACCGTTTAAATAAAATACATACATCCCCGAATGGCTTTCCATCTATCAGCACATTGTTTTGCGGTTCTGTGACCCAAATAGATTGCTCTCATTCTTTTCCCATATTCTCTGTTGCCAAGACTAACAAGAATTTCATCTTCCTGTGTACAGATGAAAATATTAGTACATACCAGCGTAGTTGAATGCAACTTATTATTGTTAAAAAATATACCTTTGGCGACCATGCTTTATCCATGTTTTTAACGGCAACAATAAGGCTGCAGTTGCAATGTAATGATGGTTTATTAAGTTTTCCGTAAGTTTGGAGGTATTATTGACTTTGACCAGACACTGGGTTGACCGACAAGATAAGAGTCTTCTCCAAGGGCGTTGTACGTTTGTAAAAATAATAACGACAGAATCAACTTGTTGTAAAACTTATAAGCGTTTTTGACTGTGTGAAATATAATGTATTGATCCAATGTGATTGTAATTCGATTATCGTTTTATCGGTTTGTCAGTTATCATACCATTATAATGTAGGTTCACTTACGCGCAATACTTTTTTGTCACAGTTCAGGGAGTTCGGTTCTTTATATATTTATATCTTATTCGTTTATTACTACGTTAAAAACGATGTCATTATAATCAAGAAGTGGAACAATGGGCGATTTCTTATTTACTCATGCCATTTATGCATGAGGACCATCACGCGCCATATTATTTTTCACGCAAGTACCAATTAAACCAACCTTGTTCAGCAATAGCCTTCCATAAACGAAGCATAGAAAACCCAGACCGAAGCAAACCCAGTCATAAGACAAAAAGCGAGCCGATGGCGTACATCACACGCAGAAAAAGCGCACACTTATACACACACAAAAATACATGCGCTGGTTTACTATTTCTGATCTGGTGGTTTGTCGTTCCTTATATGCAGGAAAATAATATGCAATATGTGCATGATAATCAATTGCTCCATCTCCGGCGGCCGTTGTGTGGAGCTGTCGATAATTATCGCCGTGGTTAGTTAGATTAAGACGCTCATCGATGATTGTGACATCCAAAGAAAACAATGAAGCCAATTCTTTAGTTGAGTTTAAAATATTAGCATACGTACAGCATTTTGAAAATGTAAGAATAATTCATTATGAAGATTACTAATTATTTACGTCAATTTTTTTATTAAGTTGTAGCATCGACTATTCTTTGATAAAATTTTAGTTTCTGATGTACATAATAAGTGTAAGAAAGCAGTCAAAGTGATTAAGATAGTAGTTGTCTTTTATTTGGTATTGTTGAAAATAGTAAAAGTTGGGAATTGACTTACCGCCATTTGCACACACCATATGATGCATATCATGCCATTTCTGGCCAAAACGTTTGTAGATTAACTGCTTAATAATAATATCACTACCCAAACATCTGTTGTTTAATTAACCACAGTAAGATATCTGGAGACATGTCAAATATGCATAGATATTATGTATAATATGTATACAATAAATTATTAAAACAATCTTTGGCCGTTTACGTTACGTGGCTCTATAATCTTTCGTTATAGTAAATGCAAAAACAACAAAAATATCGTGTTTGATAATGCTATTAGAAAATACACAATAATGTAATTCTTAAGTATGTCCTTTTAGCATTACATACTGGCCAAGTGTGTCAAGGAATTATAACAACAACCGTAAAAGCCCTTCTCAACGAGAAATAACCTTTTCGTAAAAAGGAGTGTTAATACAACAAAATAATAGAATAATCGATAACTGTGTGCTGAAAACATTTTATTATGAAAAATACGGTAACGACACAAGCTGTTACAATAAGACTCTATACGCTGAAAATATTTATGGCAACAAGAAGGCATCGCCAAGGGAAAATGCATGAGAGATTATTCTATCGTTATTTATTCGGAGGATCTCTACCGAAGTGGAACACACCCATCCATCGAATATGGATATAAAAAAACTTTATTGAGCTGTATTGGTTCTTTTCCTGTTTGTTTGCAGTTTCCAAATATATTACTGAATAGAACAATAACCTGTTATAACAACACGCATTAGTAATGGTTCCATATTTCCGAGTTCTATGATAACATCTTATCGATTGTGAGCAATTTCTTTATTTTTACTAATATGGTCTCATTGATTACTAATATTTCCCGCAGCATGCTATTGTTATGAAATCTTCACATGCTAATAAAAATAGAAAAATCTATAATAAGAATTGAAACGCTTGCTAAATGCCCCTGAACGATTATATGTTGGTGACAAAAATACCACTGTTTCAGCGATGGAGGGAAGCAACTGAACGGAGTACGTAGTATTTTTAGTCGAGTAGCACTCTTGTGTGAACAAGCAGCAAAAATATCGTCGCCAACATTTAACCAAGTGTTCGTGTACCATTCTGCCAGATTATTGTCGCAGCAAAGGATGGCGATTGCCGTACATGACAATGTCTACTTGAGCAATTTTTGTGTGAATTATCATGAATCTCTGTTGCTATTGCAGGATAATTTTGCTTTCTATCTTTAATTTCCCTCAAAAACAAATGTTCAACTTGTCAGATACCATTCGCAGTGTGTAGTTAAAACTTTGACTACATACGTATCGGGGCTCATACTGTCAGTGTTATATTCACGTGCACAATTACTAGTTTTTCATCAGCAGATCAAAATGTTACACGGAAGGTATAGTTGTCAAATGTAGGCCGCAGTATGTGTAACCTGCTGTTTCAAAATAATAATAACGGGACTGAATATATCCTTTTTTGTTTTCTCGAAAAGCTCAAATCAATTACTGTAGCTCCAAAACGACAAATTATTATTGCGTACATGTTTTAGGGGATAAACTGAAAATCAGGATGGACGGATGAATTACGAAATATCAGTAAGCACAGCTCGTATTTCGAGGATTAACGATTATGCTTAGAATTTATACACAATACAAACATACGATTAACCTCATTGAATATAACAACGGCTTGCCATTTTGATTATTAGATCCACTTCACATTCGTGGAGACGAATAATAACTCTTAAAGAGTGAAACGTGCAGGTTGTACTTGATGTAATTGATGGCTGCCTAAGCAATATAATATGAATATAGCATCACCGGTAAGAGTATATAGAAAGTAGTCGGGCCCAACAAATTCCTTTCTTATATCGAAAATCTCTTATATCGAGAGTCACTCGATATATGACTGTCCTTATTTATGGGAATAAACATTTCTTATCGTTATAGCAAAACTTTATTTACACTATTCTTGTTGCATATATCGATCAAGACTTTCCAATTAATGCTGCCATTTACCACGTCTTTCTTAAGACTACATGTTGCTATCTGACTGATCGATAAACAGAATTATAATCCATCATAGAAAACGGATTAAAATGCATTACGAAATTTGAATAAACTCTTCCCATCATCTATTTCCAAGCTGCAGCTCGCCCAAGCATTGATTGGTTCACCACAGCATTTTAGTATTTCCAAAAGAAGATAATTTCCCAGTAGAAAATGCGCCACAATCCCATAATATTACTATAACAATAAAGACAATGAGCCCAAAGATCTGCAACTCAAAGCAAAGATGAAATCGTTTGTTACAGAAGCAAATGAGAAATTCGTGGGAAGTTCGGAATATTCGTGATGAGTCTCGCAGCTAGGGATCCCAAAACAAGATAAATAATCGAACAAATAAACGGCAAAGTAAAAATAATAATAATGGATCCCAATAAGTATTAATTAAACTGTTATACAAAATTCGACAACATTGATCGTACGACTATGATCTGGTTACTGTAACGCAAATAAAAATCTACGAAGCTCAGGACATCTATTCAATTTGATTTATCCCAATTACAATGTTCCTCGCCGACGGTTTCGTAGATTTTGTGGTTTCCATACCCAACGTCGTTTTTCATGAGGAATTGCTCCCAATTCCTGTTCTATCTTTTATGCGTGCTCTTTACTTAACAATAACTTATCACAAGTCTCTGAAAGGAGCGCAAATTAGCTGGTTCCAAGGAATAATTGGAATGCTTGTAACAGCCCTTGGAGGAAATACCACGACTGGTGAGTCTGCCTTGATGACATTCGAGTTCAGTCTGAACAACAACGAGATCTGATTTGTATTGTCTTGATTAGCTTTGCTATTAGGTCAACCGCCCAGTTGGCTCGTTTCCAACACCATTATCCCGACTTATGTGTGCGTATATAAAGATTATTTCACACGATACTAACTCTATCTCATCTAAAATATTATTAACAAGTAACTTAATAGGGCGGTGCATATCGCATACTTTCATTTACCGCAAGTACGGGGACTTTTACATAGTATTCCTGATTACATCTTCAACCCAATACTTGATTTAGCAAACATCCTTTACAAAGCCAATTCCATCTGCTTATCCGGCGTTGAGAAAATACGCACAGATGAGCGCTACCCATTGAATAACAGTTGGGTAGCAATGGTTATATGTGGAACTTTGTCTGGCTGCGCTGGCGGTCTATGGGTTTCTACGTTTCAAATCGCTACTCCAGAATGGGGATTCAAGAGTACTCCGAAAGTGCTTGTTGAGCCAAGCTATATTATGAAAGCAAGCTTTGTTGTTTCCTTGCTTTATACTTGGGGCACAAGTGGCGAGGGAAATGGGATATTTCAATTTGATAAGAAAGAAGGGAGAGCTTTGGCCATGTTAGGAATGAGTCTTTTTTCACTCATCAAGACGGATGAATTAGCTCAGATAATAAGGAAGATTGGACGTAATGACGAGGTGGCGGAGGGAAAAGAAAATGAGGAAAAGAAAGATCAATAGATTAAACATACAAGCATAAGATTTCAATAAATTCATTATCATGGTCATGGGAGGATTTTCGCATTGCAAACTCTATTGCATTGTTGTTAGTAAATTTATTATGTGTAGTTACGATCTCGACGGCCAAGGACTACAATTAAAAAATGCACGTATTAGATGATTTCAGCGCTCCCGGCAACTTATCATTGTAAACACTCATTGGTTTGTTAAATAAGCTCGCGATCTTACATGCCTTATTTGTTTAGGATGGTGTCAATAGTTGGACTCCGGTGAGTTTCGGAGAATCACGTGAGGCTGGGGATGGATGGTAACAAAAGCACAATAACGTTAGCGGAGAAAATAGTACACGGTTTTTGGTAGTCAAATACGGTTAATCTCGTTCGTGCGTAACATTGATTCTAATTCGCAATCTAACGGTAAATCAGGTATTTTGAGTGGTTGTATGTTTAAGAACAATAAAAAGGTGTATTGGCTAACAGCCGTGGACTACGATAGATCTGCATGATTATTGACAAATTGTTGCAAGGGCAAGATAGCTACTTAAAGAGGGGAATAATGAAGAGAAGAGTAGAAAAAAGGGGTAAATCAACGTATTCTACAAAAAAAAAATTGTGACTTTCAGTATGAGATAATATTATTCGATCGAATTTACGTTCTGGCATAAAAAAGTATTTAGAGGTTGTTATTGAAAAAGGGCAGTTAATAATTAATCACTAAATTTTTATTTAATTTTATGTTCTTGCAAACATGTATATAAAAAATGCACCTCAACTCAGAAATAAAAAATTTAAAGTTCTCATTATTTTCCGCACTACCATAACTAAGATCTTAAAGCAAAGATTGCATTTTTCGAAGAAATCTGCATTTGCTCAGTGTCCATGGTGCAGATAAGCTCAATAATAGAGAGTAGCGTTTAATCGCTTTATTGCTTTAATCTTGGTTTTTTATTGTGAAAACTTCATATTCCTCAAGAGTGCCATTTGCAACACTGCATGCAATTCCATAATAGTGAGTACCACTCGCTGAAGTAGTTGAACTCCATGCTTGTCCACTTATATAAAAATTACTACCAAAATATGGACCAAAAGATGGATCATAGTCATGATCCCCACAAATTAGACCACCCCGTGATTCATAGTTATAGTTGTAGTAATCATATTTACTTTTACCTCTAGAATTGAGCCTACCCATGCTTGCTCCTGCGGTCGACTTTCCATCAGACGTCTCAAAAATAAAACTGCCATATACTGCATAGTCTTCGCCGTTGTATATTTGATCTTCAGCTGAATCATAATCAACCCAAGATGAGGGATTATAGCCGCCAAATATATTTGGATGATTCATAATTTTGCAATAACAACAGTCGGGCCTTTGTAGGAACACATGCTACGGAATGTTTCATTATCAAATCCATCACGACTTGCCCGATAGATAAGTGCAAACTCGTAAGGAATCTCTTCATATGCGACATTCTTTGAATCGATCCATCCAGCAATAAGAGCCATAATAGAATAATCGACCAATCTTGAATCGAACGGTCTGCGTCTAGTTTTTGTTATAAAATCTTTCGGTTTTCTGGATGACAGAATGATAAATTGCAACATTTCTTCTCTTAGTTTTTTAGAGAATAATTTTCTGTATGGCCTAACGTTGTCATAATATTCGTCTGTAGACATTGCAAAAAACCGAATGTGTTCAATAAGACCGGCTAGTGTTTTCTTCATTTGATTCAAATTATCTGCTGACCATTCTGTTGGGGAATGTTTTAATTCTGGATGTCTGCTTGTGCCCCATTTCAAAACACATTTCCATAATTCAACTTCTTTTATATGTAGTTTATCCTGCTGCAATATCTGAGCAAATATGTCTTCCTCCAATGTCAAATAATCGTCAGAGTTGAACAAATGTGTGCAGTTCTTGCAAATTTCATTAAGGCAAAAAAGTCTAAGCGTTTTGCACGATTCAAGTCGGAAAATTGATTCAAGTACTCGAACTGGTTGTTCGACTATGAACGATTCTCTCGATTTAATAAGAAAACTTTGCGCAAATTGAAGTAGGTCACCCAAATCCAGCTCGTCCGTTGCAATCAGCAATTTAAGGATTTTAGATCCATCACACTTATTTATATCTACTTCTCCCGTGTACAGATATCTGTAAAGTTGGCATATATTAAATATGCTGAGCATATATGTATCGAACGAAGATAGTCTGCTCAAGACATTGCACTTTACCTTAGGATGATTTCAAAGACATCAGCTTCGACATTAGCTTTTTCAAAAACGTAACAGTTACCCTTTTTTTTGAACCATTCTTTCGATAATGCAGTTTGGAAATATGTTGATTGAGCGCACAATATTGGAGTATGTACTTTGAATTCCTTTCTATCTTGTTTGTAACCTGCATATAAAGTGAGGTCAAAGTTTTTGCCACTTTCGAATAGCTGCAAAAAATTCTTTGAATGTTGAGTATAAAAATGTGTGGACATGTTGCGCGTGAGGATGTACTCGGTTCCGTACCTATGTGCAATATATAACGCGATAAAATGACTCTATTCTTACTCTTTTTTGGAATAGTAGTGAGAACTCGAATAGTCAAGCAAATCTTACCGTAAATTGAAAACAGTGGATGCTTAAAGCATATGTATGACTCATTATTAGGATTGGCGCTTTTTGTTTGGGGATGTGCGAATATAATTAATGATGTGAGTGACTATTGCGTGTGCTGTTCAGTACTCCAAATGAGCATAGCGGGCTTTCACTGTGAGTAAGTAAATTAATTTTATATATTATAAAAGGTTAAGACGATAACGACAACAAACAAGTAGGTCAGGTGTGGGAAAGGTTTAGCCTGCTGCGCATGACAATACAAAGAAAGGTTGTTGTTTGAGTAAATTAATTTTATCATACTATATAAAAAGTACAAAAGGTTAAGACGATGACGACGACAAACAATTAGGTCGGGGAAAGGCTGCACAATACGAAGAAGGTTTTGTTAAGCTAATACTAATACTCGTGTAAAGTGCATTTATTTGGTATTTACGATAAAGCAGTATGCGAACAAATTAATTACGTTCTTGATGAGAACGAAATAATAGGCAAAGGTCCCAATGGTACACTGAGCCTGGTATTCGATGATTTAAGAAATTAAATAAAGGTGAAAAACATTTAAAGATTACTTGTGACAATGTGGGAGGACAGAATAAAATAATGCGACCATCTGATTATATTTATATCTAATAATTTGCGGTTATCATGAAAGTATTGAATTGAATTTAATGGTACCTGGACACACTAAATTTAAGTGCAATGGTAGTTTTGGACTGATTAAAAAGCTTTATAGAAAAACAACCGTAGATTGTGTGGATAATATTGTTGAGGTTGTGAAAAGATCGAGTACAGCGGAACTAAACAAAGCTCAGTGCTATGGAAACGGCAAAGGCTTTCAATATTTAGATCTTAATTCCGTGTTGGGGATTTTCTTTAAAAAATTAAATGGTTTACAAAAAATCAGCATTTTCTCTTTGAAGCAGCTCGACCTGGAGTTGTCAGAGCCCAGATGTTGCCAATGGTGCTTTTACTGAAAAGCGAGTGTTTCTAAAATTATCAAAAAAATTAATCCTAGTTCTAAACCCTCCTCCCCTGGATTATAAAGGGCAAGAATATCTTTACCAAAACATTGCCTATTTATTAGAGATGAGTTCAAAGACATTACTTGTCCCAAGCCAATGTCGAATAATTTTTATATTAAATGAAAGTTGTTAAATGCTCTAGTTAAATTTTTTCTCTTGATTTTAATTATTACAATTATTAAAATAATTAAGAGATATAACAATAATCCACAGCCAGTAATTAAGTAAGTTCTCTCTTTTCTATTTTATTAAGCTGGCTTTCCAATCAAGGTTTTATTCCATTTTTTATAATAAGCCTCAGGATCTCTTAATTTTCAGCTATTCTTTTATTTTCAAAAGTGCCTAGCATCTGTCCATTTCTTTTAAGTATTCTGTCTGCTCGCCCTCTTTATCCTTCTTTCTTTCATTTAGGGAATAAGATCATAGGGGAGGCATTTATTTCATCGACAGTACACTTCACCGACAGTCATTTCACGTGACTCATTGTTTATCGCACTTATCATGAAATTTATGTCGGTGAAACGTACTGTCCAGTCACTGGACATTTCCCAAAATTTTTGTTGACTTACAAGATCATATAAGGTTACACGAATTTTATTATTTGTTT